TCCATGAGCTTCTCGTAATAACAACTCTCGAAGTGAAGTACGTGGTATGCAAAGCTGATTACCATGAAACAGATAGCCCTCTTGTCGATAGTACATCCCTTCTCCAAGCTTCTCACATAGCTTGTATATCTCTCAAACATCAGAATCCTCCTTATAGACCCCTTTGATTTGCTCGAATCAAATATACTTGGCATCCATGGTAGTGATCAAAGTGTATCTTCTCGATAAGGCATTAGCAACCACATTCTCCTTGCCTTGCTTGTACTTTATCACGTAGGGGAATTATTCGATGAACTCCACCCAACAAGAATGCTTCTTGTTCAACTTATGTTGAGCCTTCAAATACTTGGGAGACTCATGATCAGTATGGATAACGAATTCCTTTGGCCACAAGTAATGCTCAAGTCTCCAAAGCTCGAACCAATGCATAGGGCTCTTTATCAAAGTTGGATAATTAAGTGTAGCCCCAATAAAATTCTTGCTAGAATATGAAATTGGCCTCTTCTCTTGCATCAATAAACTGCCAATGCCTAATCTTGATGCATCACACTCCACTTCAAAGGTCTTATTAAAATCAAGTAGCATCAGAACAGGAGCATGAGTAAGCTTATACTTGAGTAGCTCGAATGCCTTCTCTTGATCTTATCCCCAATAAAATGCAACATTCTTCTTCATGATTGATTTTCTTGGCGCGACAATGGTGTTGAAATTGGGAACAAATCATCAATAGAAGCCACCCAACCCATGGAAACTTCTTACTTCACTCATGTTTGTAGGAGTAGGCCATGCTGGAATTGCCTTCATCTTCTCTTCATTAACTTCAGTCCCATCAGTACTAACAACAAATCCCAGAAACACCAAGATTGAGGTGAAAAATGTGCACTTCTTGAGATTTTCATAGAGCTACTGCTTTCTCAAAGTCTTCAGCACATCCCGCAGATGGTCAAGATGCTCCTCCTTGCTCTTCGAGTATATCAGAATGTCATTAAAGCAGACAACCCCAAACTTCCCAATAAAAGTTCTCAACACGTGGTTCATAAATCTCATAAATGTACTCGGAGCATTTGACAAGCCGAAGGGAATCACCATTCATTCATAAAGACCATGCTTCATTTTAAATGTTTCCTTGCATTCATCCTCTTCTTTCATGCGGATTTGTTCGAAAACACTCTAGAACCATGTAACTCGTTAAGCATATCATCTAAACGAGGTATAGGATGACAATACTTAACTATGATTTGTTTGATTTCTCGACAATCAACACACATCCTCCACCTTTGGTCCTTCTTTGGCACGAGAATGACAAGTACTGCGCAAGAACTAATGCTTCCTTTCTCCAAAAGCTCATCAATCTGCCTCTGGAACTCCTTCGTCTCTTCTGGATTCGTCCTATAAGCTGCTATATTTGGAGTGGTAGCTCCAGTGGCAAAATCAATTTGATGGTCTATCCCGCGGATTGGAGGTAAACCTTTTGAGCTTCCTAGGGGAGACATCTTCAAACTCTTCCAATGCCACTCGTGCCCTAGGTTGGTATTTCTTGAATCAACTCTTGGTTGAGTAGCACGTCCTTGTATAAGATGATTATCATAGGCTCTCGATTGTTGATGGCTTGCTTTACGTATCCACTACGTGTTAGCATCAATGTTTGGGGCTCCAAGTTACTCGAACTTTCCCTCCTACTCCTTGTGGCTTGAGCTCCCTTCTCCTTTTCTCAATTTTGTTGCATTTGAAGTTGGTCTTCATAAAATTCTCTAGGAGATAGGGATATTAACACGAACTTTCGACCTTGATGAGACAACATGTATTGTTTGGTGACTATATCATGTTGTGCACTTTGATCGACTTGCCACGGCCTCCCAAGCAGAACATGAGCCGCTTGCATAAGCACCACATCACATGTTACCTCGTCTTTGTAATTCCCAATCACAAACTTAAGTAAAGCTTGCTTTGCCAACTTAATCGAACCATCTTCATTGAGCCATCAAAGAATGTAGGGTTTTGGTTGAATCTGGGTCTTTAACCCCAACTTCTTCACACAACTCGCGCTCACCATGTTTGTGAAGTTTCCTCCATCAATCACAACTGAAAGTAGCTTCCTATCTACTACACACCTCGTATGGAAGAGGTTCTCTCTTTGCTCAAGCTCTTCCATCGGTTGGATGTTCAATAACCAGCAAGCCACACACAACTTGCCTGGAGGTGCTTAAATCTCTAAAAAATCTCATCAATTTCAAAACCAAATTGTCCTTCTCTTCATTTACCTCTTCTTCGGATTCAGACACATACTCACCATTCAGATTCAGAATCAATGCTCTCTTGTTGGCACATTTGCTTGCTATTTTCCCACGTCCATAGAACTCAAAACATTGAATCCCACCAGATGATGCTCCTTGTTTGGTACTAGGGTTTGGAGCTTCAACCTTTGGGCAGAGTTTTGGTGCTTCTTTTGGAGGGACACTTGGCCTAGGGTTTGTTGTAGGGTATGGAGTCGGCCTCGTGGTGCTTGTGGAAGTTATGAACCTTCGACTTTTTGTTGCCTCTCCACCTTACTCTCCATGGCCACCAAATATTCAAGCTCAAAGAATGGTTGGATCACCATAAGAACCTTAAGACCATGTAGAAATCAAGCTATGATAGCCTCCCTATCTTCACAACTCGGCTGACCGTGATAACTACAAGGTGACCGTGATGCTGGACCAGAACAGTGCTACTGACCTGCGTTTTTTGTCCGACATCACGGTTTGAGCTCTAAAGTCACGAACGTGATGTTCAGACCGTGAAATGATTGTCAGGCTGTATAAATAGAAGGTTGATGGAAGAGAGAAATGAGAGAAATGTCTTCTTCTTCAAAATAGAGAGAGAGAAAGTGATCAACAAGGAGAGAAGAAGAAGATTTGGGCTCACTTCGAGCTAGAGGAGTGAATATTCTCACCTCTTAAGGGAATTCTTATCAACTAGGAGGGAAGACAAGTATGCACCATGGCTCTTTCTTTCTTTCATCTTTGTTGTTTTCCTTTCCCTTGCTATGGAGTAGAGTTCCTGTTCCCTTGGGTATTGTTTACCCTAGCCCTTTGAATGCGATAGATTGTATGAATTGAATGTCTTGTGTGGGTTGTGTTTTAATGCAATTATTGAGGTATTTTCATGAAGGTTGTGTATTCCATTTCTCACTATTGTACCGATTCGACCTAGGTAGCGGGAAACCTCCTTCTTGCTAAGAGGCTTTATTAAGATGGAATTCTTTGGACCATTGAGCCTCCTACTTAGGTTGAATTAGAGCAAACCTCATACTACATTTTAGTGCTCTGGGTTGGTTGTTGTTTTTCCGTCTGGACTAAGGTCCTAGGAAGTAACCTTGGAAACCCTTAGGCGATTGGCCAAGAGAGCGAATTCCATAACTTCATTTGACATTCCTTGGACCATCGACTGAGAGAGTGAAGCTTCTTCACTAGTTGCACTCTCCTATGATTTACAACCAATTTTCCACACACTTGCATTCTTTTCGACTAATCTTGATATATAGTATAGGGAGCAATACCAGGTGAATTCTTCTCTTATTGGGACAACGTCGATTTTCTTTACTTGCTTGTTTTCATTTGTAGTTTCTTTAATTTTAACCAAAAACCATTTACTAGATAACAAATTAAGCGATTGAAGTAGGGGTACATGGACTGACAGGGGTTTGACATTTAAAACATATTTTCCCTATACTGCACCCGACTAGAGTTTATACTTGGGCTCTATTCGGGATTATAATCCGTGGTGTAGTCCGTGGCGACTCACCTTCTTCGTCATAGAACGGTTGAAAATTCCTTCTTGCCACCCGTTGGCCTCTCAGGGGTTGAAGTCATCATACATGCTCAATCAAAGGTCGTTGTATTGCTCGACCTTTCCTTCTTTCTTCTCGTCATTCCCTAGGGTTAGGGTTAACATTATCGGCAGGTTGGGTTTTCTCTCACACTAATAAGATCATCAAGACTAAGCCTGCTCAAGAAGAAGAAGGCCTAATGATTCATGAAAAGCTAAGGCTGTAAGGGAGCAAATTTCAAGTTATTTGGGTTCACAATTAAAGGACATAACCGTGGAGTTACATGGACGAAAGCCCATTACATTACTATAATTTGTGGATCAGAATCAAGAGAAGAAGGTAAGGAGGATTCGGCCTAGAAGAGGTTCTCATGGTGTGAAAGGAATGAATGTGTGAATGGAATCCCAAGTGTGAACATAAGGGGGTGAATTTTTTTTTTTTTTTTTGCCAAGGCAAGCCCGAAGGGCATGGGACAAAGACTCGACACGATTACAAGACCGACACAAACGGTACGCGTTAGTCCGTATGCAACCAGACTACCGATGAAAGAGCCTGTTAAGCCACTACTTGGGCAGCTCTGAAGAAGCTCCGAGGAGCAAAGACACGACACTGACGGGGAAAAAACATAAACAAAAACCCAACATCTCCAAGATAGTCCCGCCAGCGAGTGTAGTTTCCTTCGACGGAGTATGCCGGGTGTCCAGTATCAAGTTGTCACAAAAAAGCCACAACAAAGAAAAGAAAAAGACATTAGCAATCTTTGACAAAGCATGCTTAATTGCTCTAATTAATTTGTAAAAGCGAATTAAATCAAACATCACCTTATAGATCGATGAGACTTATTTCACTCGCTTCAATTCTTTCTTATGATATAATCACCTAAAAAATGACCAACAAAAAAAGCACAAATATGGTGCTAGAAATCTCTATTACAAGAGATTAAATCTTGTCCTGAGGCAAAGTCGATCTTGTCGAAAATACACCACCAACAGTATTATTCAACACTTGCAAGTGCAGTACACTCACAATCAATAACGATTGACCAAAATTTGGAAAAATAAAGCCTACTTTAACTAACAAAACTAAATAAATTAGTGATATTAATGGCTACCCCAAACCCCAAATTAGGGTTGAAAAACTAGGAAAGTATTACTCACCTCAGCTCACTGTATTAAGTGAATGGAAAAAGATACATCCAAACAGAAAATTTGTATAACAACAAATAAGGGGGAAAGAAAATAGACCCACTTAATATGGAAACATTAACGTTCATTGCTGAACAATAATGATAATGCAAATAAAAGGGATAGTAACTAGCAAAGTCCACAAAAAATTCGAATTAGCAATAATTAAAAGAGTAAATAAATTAGTAAAAAAGATTCCATATCTTACCTCAACGTAAACGAACAAATGAGACATAACCGGAGGTATGGAATTAAATTAAAATGTAAATTTTTATATATGGCGCCATACGTCGCGGAGCTAATTCAGGAGACAAGGCGAACAGCCATCCGGCAAACTTGGAAGGCGGCGGCTGGAGGAGAGCCCGGGATCTCCGTAACAGGGTTCCGATAGCCACCACAACTGAATTTCGGTTTCGCCGATAAAACAAAAGTGTAACAGGGATTATGGACAAGATGATATCCAAATCTCTTACCTTGACCCATAACCCATCGGAAACAGGAACTCGCAATGAAGCTTAATCCTCAATCCTCACAACAAAAACTTTCAGAACGACCATCAATATGACAAAGAGATTATAGAATTATGATAATGTAGTTATGGTGCCATTTGATTACTAATTAAAACTGATGATATAAGCTTATGCGAGTTATGACGGAGAAAGACAAGAAGAGGAGGGGTGATGTGTACCGGATATGACGCCGGTGAAGTAGACGAGAATAGAGGTCTTGCCCCCAAGAGCCCAGTCGATGCCGAGGACGTCGATGTTGGCGCCAACGTGAGGGTCGCCCTTGTTGTAGAGAAGGTCGGACTGGGTCTTTGATTTGCTCGCCTGAAGCCATTTTTGCGGTGATGCATAAGGGGGTGGATTTGAAGGCATGGATTAAGGGGAGTTTTGACTTAGTCTTTTACTTGTTTGTTAAGGTTTTCTTTTCCTTTTTAGAGTAGGATTCTATTATCCTTTTTACTTTGGTTTTCGGGTTCTTAATTTCATATAAAGGGGCCAAACCATTGTAATGGATTCATTCAAATTTAGATTATCAATTACATTGAGTGTTTATTCGAGTTCCTTTGTGGATGTTTGCTTAAATTTCTTTTGAGGATCCGAGAGGTTTGATTGTCTCTTATCAACTAGACGATCACATCTAGTTGTGGCAAGTTTGACTATATCGATTGGCCCTTCCCACAGGTTCAAGATTGTTTAATTGATTTCCATCGTATCTTATTTTTTGTGTTATTCAAGAAAGGAGAAAACCCCAAAATAGTTCAACGTTGTGCTATTCTGATTTATTGGTCCAAGTTTGAGGTTCTCTTCGAATTAGGGTAATATGAAGTGGTATTAGGAGCTCGGTTCAAACACAGTGGGGTAGAAAAAGTATCTTGGAGTTCGTGGCTTATTCTTGAGCATCCTTGGGAGTCTTGGACGTCAAGAAAATGGATATTGGACGTTTTTGGAGGTTTCTTGCGTGGCAAGAAGGTTATCTTGGAGCAGTGAGTTATAGAGCATTATCGGTCAATCAATAATGGCGGAACATCAAAACCAAGACACAGCGGTAACATTGCAACAAATCACTGCACAACTAGATACCATATGTAACACCCCGACCTTTGGATTTAGGTTCGACCTTAATACGTGAACGGTTGGGTTGACGATTACGTACTAAGAGTTGCAACCGCGGATTAAGAATAATTATTATTATTATTACTTATAAAAGAAAAAAATTAATTAGTGGGGCGGCAGCTGTGCAAAAACACAAGAAAAGTCGTCCCGCTTCCTTTTGTTCTCGTGCGTAACCGAAGCAGGAGCAACAGTGGAGGCTTGTTCAGCCAGCGCAACCAAAATCAGCTGCAGTTGGAAGCCCGGACGCATCCCCTGCGTGCTAGTGGTCATACGACGTCTTTGCGGGTGATTCGAAATATCGATCGACGAGGAGATCAACGTCCTGGGTCATCCAACCTAGGTCTAGGCACGTTCTAGAGGTAATAGAACTCGATCCCTTTGAGTAAGGTCGATTAATATGGGGATTTTTCGTGTGGGTGCAATTCTGGGTTTTAGCAACAGACTTTACAGGCTTTTAGTAACAGATATTTGGTGGTCACTAAAGCTGTAGGGAATTTCCAGAAACGTATTTTAGATGTTTTAAAGTGTTTCGAGCCACTGTGGGTGTTTGTTCCTAATTTTAATAATTTTATAAATTGAGGGAGGTCTAGTAAATTGCTGTTATTTAATTTGAGGATTTTTGAAGATGTATTTCCATTTTTATAAATTATTTGAATGTTTATTTTAATTAAATAAAAATCTTTCCGATGAGTTTTTAAGGGTTTGATAATTTTCCAGGATATAGGTACTCATGTTTGACATTGTAAATTATTATTACCGAATTTTTAAGAAGGTTCAGGTTAGGTGAAAAATTCGTGCAAGACAAAAATAATTAGGAAAAATGGTTAGTTTTGAAGGGATTATTCCTAGAAAAATTTTAAAGGGGGTTAAGGGACCTTTGGAGCGAGTCTCGAGGGCTAGATTTTGAGGAGAGGATGTTCTAGTGATTCAAAAGAGAATTCTAAATCGAGAAAGATTGACTAAGGAGATCGCCTTCTTATTAATAGGTTCACAGAGATAATTCGGCTAGGAGGGATTTTTTAGAGTAAGGAATCGAGGAGTCGTCTTTTCAAGGTGAGTGTAAAGGGGGTAAATTCTATTCCTTACGTGTTCTTTCAAGTTTGACGAGCTTTAAGTATTTTGATGAAGTGATTGTTATTGCTTCATTGTGTTTATGATTGGTGATATGTGCTTTACTTGAGCTTTGTGTAGAGTGATTATGTATGAGTTGTTATTTACTCTAAAGCTTTCCAATTAGGAGTTATTATTAAAGTGTAAGAACCAAGTTCTCCTTTTTTAAGAAGTAACTCACCTTTAAGAAGGCGAGGTCGTTTTAAGTGTTTTTAGTCACTAGCGTCAGCCCGTTGCCATTTGGGATCTTTGAGATAGAGCAGCAGTTATGCTCTTGAGACTTTTTAAGACGAGGAAGCAGTTATGCTCGTGAGATTTTTAAGATGAGCAGCAGTTATGCTCTTGGGAATCGTGGTGAAGAGCCACCACGATAAGTTTAAGTTTAAGTAAACCCTGGATGGGCTCTCATACGTATGAGTTGGCAACCGGACTAGCTAATGAGGGATCCCAGTGTCAGTCAAATATTTAATTTGAGATTTGAGCTTTAAGAATAAATTTTAAACAGTGGAAGTATCATCCACCAGTTTAAGTTAAGTTCTTAAGTAAGAAATGCTAGAGATTTCAAACGTAAGGGCGTAGATTGACCCCAACTCACTCACCAAATCGTACATGAGGATTTCATAACCAGCCAGTTCGTGATCAGCAAGCTAGAGGAGCTCAACACCACCGTCGCTGAGAGGTGTCGAGTCAGGCGTCAGAGTAAGCATAGATGAACTTTTGAAGTTATTAAGACTTTATGATTAAGAGTTATAAACTGGAGATTCATTTCTTTTGTTCTTTTGAAGAGTACAATTTAAGTTTTGCCCACGTGTTTAGGGCTTCGCTTTGAGATATTAAGATATTTAAGATTGGTATTTTAATTGAAGTTGTCTGATTTGAAGTTTTTGAATTTTACCCCGAGGTAGAAGTGTCTTTTTCCATGTTCAAAGTAGTGGGATGTTTCACCATACTTCAAAAAGAAGCAATAACCAATTCTAAGATCGAAGCACTAGAGAGGCACAATCAAGAGTAACTTCAATAGCGATCAAGAGCAACCCGAACCTACTGATAATGTTAACCCTAACCCTAGGGAACGATGAGCAGAAAGGAGAGGTCGAACTGTACAACGACCTTTGATCGAGCATGTAAGACGACATCAACCCCTGGGAGGGCAGCGAATTGCAAGAAGGAATTTCTAGCCGTTATATGACAAAGAAGGCTATGAGGAGTTCGACAATGATAGAGTTTCCTATCAAAGAGAGGAAGATGATGATTTAAGAGGCATTAAGGTGACCATTCCTTTGTTTAGAGGGAAAATTGACCCGGATGCTTATCTTGATTGGGAGAGCCAGACGGAACTGATTTTTGCTTGCCATCATTATTCAAAAAATAACTCTAGCCTCTCTCGAGTTTACGGATTAAGCATTGGTTTGATGGGATCAATTGTGCACCAAAAGAAGGAGAGATAGGCACAGGCCTATTGATATGTGGGATGATATAAAGGGATTACGCAAGATCGATTCGTGCCAAGTTATCATCAATATTGTGAAATGCATCAAACATTGCAAATTCTCTGACAAGGCAACAAGAGTGTTGAGGACTATTATCGAGAGATAGAGATGTTGATAATTTGAGCTGATGTTCGTGAAGGTAGGGAGGATACTATAGCTCGATTTCTACATGGGATTAATCGAGAGTTTGAAGCATTATGGAGACCCAACAATCCTATAGCTTGAAGATTTCGTGGCAATGAAGAGTAAGGTGGAGAGGAAACAGAAGAGTCGAGAAGCACTAAAACTCTAGCACCAAACACAGAGCATCATCTTGTGGGATTCAATGTCTTAAAAGTTCAATGGACGTGGGCATATTGCAAGCCAATGTCTTAACAAGAGAGCATTGATTATGTTAGAAAATGGGGAGTATGTTTTCGAATCTGGAGAAGAGTTCAATGAAGAGAAGGACATCTGATTCCGAAATTGATGAGACTCTAGAGATGGAAAACCTCCAGGCAAGTTGTGTATGGCTCGAAGGTTATCGAACATCCAGCCTAAGTAAGAGCTTGAGCAAAGAGAGAACCTCTTCCATACGAGGTGTGTAGTAGATGGGAAGCTACTTTTGGTTGCGATTGATGGAAGAAGCTGCACAAATGTGGTGAGTGCGAGTTGTGTGAAGAAGTTGGAGTTAAATACCCAAATTCATCCAAAACACTACACTCTTCAATGGCTCAATGAAGATGTTTTCATTAAGGTGGCAATGAAAGCTTCACTTAAGTTTGCAATTGGGAAGTACAAAGACGAGGTAACGTGTGATGTGGGGCCTATGCAAGCGGCCCATGTTCTACTTGGGAACTTATGGCAATTCAATCGAAGAGCACACCATGATGGAGTCACCAACAAATACACATTGTCATATTAAGGCCGAAATTTTGTGTTAAAACTGTATCTCCTTGATAACATCTAACATAGGCATTATTAAGCCTCTATTTCCAAGTCGTTTGCATGTTAAATCATCGTTTCTAGGCCACATATCAAGTAATTTATGCCCGTATTCGTTCCTTTTTGCAAAACATGCATTTTGGCATAGGTATTCTTGATATGAAGGTTTTCATAGGGGAATCGATCACACTTTGTCGTATTTTATGCTTTCCCAAATGTTTGTGATGAAATTCCAGGTCTTCTATTCATTTGGAGGTGATGGGGAATCGATTGGAGTTTATCCGAGTAAGAATGGGAAGCATAGAAGCAAAGATCGCAGCTGAAGGGCTAAAGTTCTTGACCAAGAAGATGGACCACGAAGATTGCCAGGAGATCGTGGGCCAAGAGCAAAAGATCCAGACCGCAAAGTGGTGCATTTTGACCGTGAACTCTGGAAGGAGGCGTGACTGGGAGAACAGAGAGTTTCCCCACTCTCTTCACGGGCAACGTTGATCCAGATTGAGGAAAAAGATCACGCCCAGGACACTAAAGTTCCCGGCTGCGATCTTCTGTCTTTAGGCCGCAAACTACCCTGAAATTTCCAGAGCCTATAAATAGTGGAGC